CTGCTATGGGATGGGGCGTAATGGATAGTGGCTAGGATTGGAGTTCAAATTCCAGTCATATTCATTACATTCTCTTATGTGCTAATACCCTTCAACCCAGCTATAGGTAAATAGCAGGATAGACTGGGCACTATAGCCTTGGTTGACAACCAGTCTAGGAGAAAGAAAAATCTTAATTCAAACCAGCATGGATAGGGTTGGGTCCCATCAGACTGTCTTGCCTATGAAACACCACTACTACTGTGACTGCAGTAGATGTGGTGCTCCTATGACCCTAGGCATTACAGGATTTGTGATTATGTCTATATATATATATATATATATATATATAAAATGGACTCTCTCGTTGGTTTCGACGTATTAGGATCTGACAGCTTAATTGATTCAGTTATGAAAGTTTGTGCAATAATCTTAAGTGGCACTTAAGACCTGCTAGTGATTTACAAAGGAGGCCACATATGGAGCAATAGTAAGGATTGTGAGATGAGATTCCTGTTAGATTGTCTGGCCTTTTAAATCTTGCTCTCATTTCTTGAAGATGATTCAGACAAGCAGGTTGAAAACTGCTGAGTTCACTAAAACACATTGATCTCCATTCTACCCGCTCCAAGGCTAAGCGCTCAAAGGTGTTATGTGGTATATTGACAGCTGACAAGTTGCTTTTCAGCTTGTCTTTGTATCTTAGCCATGTGTGTCCTACATTCCTGTAGCCCTGATCTAACTGGCTGTACATTAGGATCTTGGTATCCTGTCATCAGACATTCTCAAGACATGACCAGTCTCCCGGGACTGAGAAAAGTTTTGATTCCTCCAAGATGTCCTATCTTGAAGGTTAACTCCACGGATTGCACGCAGACAGCTTTTATGGAAAACATTGAGCTGGCGTATATGGTACCTGTATGGAGTCCACGACTCTAAGCCATACGAAAAAATATATATATATATATGTGTGTGTGTGTGTGTGTGCACATATATATATATATATTTATATATATATATATATATATATATATATATTTTTTTTTTTTTTTAATTGGTATGAAAGTGAACTAGTTTACTGTTACCTTCTCTATGGTTTTTGGAATTCAGAGTTTTCATTGTATTAGACGAAGGATAGAGAGCAGAATCTAGCCTGTTATTTAACTCATGACTAGGAGAGAAGAGCCAGATTTATGCTTTCCCCAAAGTCATTTGTGTGAAAGTGAATGCAACAGACTAGCATGGAATTTCAATTCGGTTTGCTGATTCAACTTTCTGCACCAATCTCTGTTACACTACCCACAAATCCATATATTTAGTATTTTTATTTCATTTATCGAACTGATATAAAAATTCCATATGAGCATGGCCTTCCTTAATGAAATTTTTGTGTCTGTTTTGATATTGCCAAATTTTTAAAGATTGGAATTAAATTAATTACAAAGAGCAAATGAAGATTTTGTAAATTTTGGTCAGTTAATCAGTCAATTCCACAGCTGGAAATAATTGATCCTATCTGTGTATCATTTGGAAAGGGCAGATATAATTCGAAGCAAATTTTCTTAATTCTGAAAAATATTTGCAGGATAATGAACACCAGTAATGGTTATTGACATTTAAAGTATGTGAAAGTTAAGAATTTTGATCAGGAGTAGAAGTTTATCTCTTGTTTCCTGCTTAGCATTGGATGTTTGGTTCCTTTTAAAGCTTACTTCAACTCTAAATGTCTAACGTCTCTGAAATTTTATTTGCTAATTATTCATCTATTATGTTTTTCCTCACCCAATCAGAGTAGATAGGTTCACCTATCATCCAGTTCACACTCCTCCCTAGTATTTTGAACAGGAATAGAGGTTTATCTTTTAATTCCTGTTTAGGATTGGGTTCCTGGTGCTTTCTAAAGTCTTTTCCTTCTCTTTCACTTTCAGTAGACCCCTTGTGTCTTAGTGGCATTATCGCCTTTGCTTTTGGCAAATTGATGAAAAAAAACAAAAACTATGTGATTCCAGAAGTGGAAAACACCATATGATTACAAAGATCATTTTTTGAATCAATTAGAAGTGAAATGAAAAATATTTACCACAAGCTTTTTGGATCTTTTGAAAAGCTAAAAAAAACTAAAAAAAAAAACTAAAAAAACTGGTGACTTTGTTTTTACTTATTGATAGTCAAATGTTCAACCTACTATAGAATCTGTACCTCTTGTGGCCAAATTGTTGCAACCAAAACTTTTGAAAGTCTTTCCTAGGTACTTAAATTTATATATTTTTCCCACAACCACATATAGATGAACACACTCGACAATCACCGACACTTGATTTGTATAAAAATGTAAATAAATTAGTTTAATATTTATTTCACATAGATATTTCCTCTCTTTCATTCTGATTTTATTACTGTTTTTCTGCCTGCTGATGAATTGCAACATGCCTTTTTCTAGCAGCTCAAATTCTTCACAATGTTTGCCAATTCTTTGCTACTTTTAATGTTGGGGGCAGGATGGCTGTAATTTTTGTATAAT